AGGCGGGGGGGAGGGGCAGCGAGGGTGAGGGAGCCGCCGGAGGAGGAGGCGGGGAAGGGGGAAGGAGCTGCTGCTCCTGCTGCTGCTGCTGCTGCTGCTGCTGCTGCTGCTGCTGCTGCTGGCCCCCTTTCTGTTTATATTTATTATTGAGTGCATTCTTTAATTTTGTCAAGTGGTGCTTAGCAGGGTCCCTTCTGACTACAAACATCATTTAATGGAGTTCTCTAATTATTAACTGCAGGCAAGTCGATCTTCTTAATTGCTTGAAGACAAGCAGCAGCAACAGCAACAGCAGCAGCAGCAGCAGCAGCAGGAAGCAAAAGGACTTTAAAAGAATTGACAAAAGGCCCACCTCTTGCATGCTGGCAAGGTCCTGGACAGTGACCAATTCATTAATTGCAGGGTTTTGAGCAGAGCCCCCAGAAAGGGTATTGAGGGCCCCCCTGGAGGTCATTGCTGCTGTTCTGTCGCTGTGTGCTGCAGCAGCAGCAGCAGCAGCAGCATTTGCTGCTGCGTCTGCGGCGGCCGCCGCCACCGCCGGAGCCGCCACGTGCTGCAGCAGCAGCAGCAGCAGCAGCAGCCACGCAGCCGGCGACGCCGGGCCGCCCCGGGCCTCTAAGAGCCTCCCAGTCATGGCTGCGAAGCAGAGGCGTTGGCGCAGCAAAAGGCAGCAGCAGCAGCAGCAGCAGCAGCAGCAGCAGCAGCGGCAGCAGCAGGGCTTCTTCAGGGGGCCGGCACAGAGAGACCAGCCAGAAGCAAATCTGTGGGGCCGGGAGACAGGCAAGGAGCAGCAGCAGCAGGGGCGGGCCTTCGCTTCGACGGGTGTCTCTGCAGCAGCAAAAAGCAGCAGCAGCAAAAAGCAGCAGCAGCAAAAAGCAGCAGCAGCAACAGACGAAAGGTGCAGCAAAAAGACCACTGCACACCACGGGGCTGCTTAAAAAGCAGAGAAGAACAGCAGCAAAGAAGCAAAAGAACCACCAGAAGCAGCGCTGGGGCCCTAGTCTTGATTTGCTGCACTTACAGGAACAACTCAGAGAGTTTCGCCCTGCTGCTGCTGCTGCTGCTGCTGCTGCTGCTGCTGCTGCCTGTCGTCGTCTATTCGCCAAAAAGAATACTTGAGACCGCTGAAGCACCACTACACCAGCAGTTTGTAAACCTGAATGCAAATAAATAAAGAAATATAATTATGAAATCGAAAAGAAAGACAAATTGCCCAACAGCAGCGCGCAGCAGCCCCCCGTCCAGAGAGATATGCAGCAGCAGACCGCTGCTGCTGCCGCTGCTGCTGCTGCTGCTGCTGCTGCTGCTGTTAGCTTAGGCAGCTCCTCGTCTCTATAAACTGCAAATAGAAACACAATTATATAAATGAAATCAAAGTTTTGATATTTCACTTTCGTGTTCCATCGCAACCGCATGTTTCCGCAGCTGGTGTACGTACACCCCAGCAGCATCGCAAGGTCACCTGTGATCACTTCTTTGATCGGCGGCGTGAAACAGCAAAAATAGAAACAAAAAGCATTAAATTTAAACATTTAATTATTTATTTTAATAAAATAAATAGATATAAAGCAGTTTATTTCCTAAAGAGGGAATAAAACGGCGAAAAATGCCTCCCCTGGCCTCTCACGAGCAGTCTCAGTCACCCCGGCGCCTCTTAGAGGCTTCCTATTCCTTTTTTCCGTTCTTTTTGCTGCTATCTCTTCCATCTATATTCTTTTTTATTTTTTAAATTTTTATTTCTTCATTTCCGCCTTTTTTCCCGCTCTCTAGGCCCGTGAGCACCTGCTGGAAGGCTGGCCATTTTCTTAAAGCCGGGGGCTCTTTTTTGCTGCTGCTGGGTCTCAGGCTTTGTTGCTGTTGCCCGCTTTTGCTGCTTCTTGTGTCCCCCTTGTCTTCTTGCATGCCCTTCTGGCTGCTGCAGCCTCTGCTGCTGCTGCTGCTGCTGCTGCTGCTGCTGCTGCTGCTGCTTGCCTCGGGTTTTGTCCATTAGGCTTCTGTCCTTCTCCTCCATTTAGGCCTCTGGCTGCGTCTGCAGCAGCAGCTTTGCTGCTGCTGCACTTTGCTGCTGCATGCGTTTTTCTCTAAGCCCCAAAGGGCCCCTACTGCTGCCTTGCTGCTGCATTTGTCTTCATGTTTTATTATTATTATTGTTATTATTATTACTATTATTATCATTATAATTATTAAAATTAGTATTATTATTCTTCTTCTTATTACTTTCCAGTGGCCCCTCAGTGGCCTCCTAGCAGCAGCAGCAGCAAGACAGGCAGCTGCAGCAAGTCCAAAGCTTCTTTTCCCCGCGGCATTTGCTGCTGCTGCTTGCATTTCTTTCTCTGCTTTAAATGCAGCACTTCCTTTGCCCCCAATCCCTCCTCACTTCAGCAGCCCTAGAGCTCTGCTGCTGGTGCTGCTACTGCTGCTGCTGCTGCTGCCTCTGCTGCCTCTGCTGCTGCTGCTGCTGCGCCGCAGGCGCGGGGTCTCTCAATTAGGATTGCCGCAGGCGCTATATGGCGAGCTGTAGCTAGCTACCTAGCTAGCTAGCTAGCTAGCTTGCAGTCGCAGCTGTTAAGGGGGAGCCTTGGGTAGCTGTGGCTAGCTGTGGCTAGCTACGAATGCCTGTGGGCAGCTAGGGATAGCCACATGGCTAGCTCTGGCTAGCTGCGGACGTCTGTGATTTCGCAGGGCTAGCTTTGGCTAGCTGTGGCTAGCTATGGCTGGCTGCAGCTAGCCGCTTCTAACTGCGTCTGGCTGTGGCTAGCTGTGGCTAGCTGTGGCTAGCTGTTGCTAGCTGCAGCTAGCTGCTGGCTTCAGCTAGCTGCCGACGCATGCAATAGGCTGAATGCTGCAATATGCATTAATGCAGTTTCATAAAACTCTAAAAGTTATTTAAATTCTGAAATTAAAAACTTCTGAAAAACATTAAGTGGTTGCAATGGCCGGTTGAGCTGAGCGTGAGGTGTACATACACCTGACGGCCCGGGCGAGTCAGCCAGTCTGGCTGGCGTCAATTTGAGCAGTTTTGCACATTTAAATATAAATAATTACATTAAAAATATAAAAATATAAAAATATAAATTTATTTAAGTGAATATAAGCGCAAATAATGCACAAATGGTCATGTTCGATGGAGAGGTGGACTGCAGAGCTGTACATACACCCCGCGCGTCCGCGCAAACGCCTCCAAATCTGTTTTGCTTTAATTTTATTTATTTTTGAAAACTTAGTCGAATATAATATATGAATAAATACTGTAAATATTTTTGTAGTTTTGTTCATTCATTATTAAATAATTCACTAAATATATTAATAAAATCATGCACACTCTTTTATAATAAATGCAAAATAACCATTATATTCATATTTATCTGGTGCATGCAGAAAATTTGTTTAGAATAAGCAAATAGATATTTAAGTTGGCATTTTTCAAAAAGAATAAACATGTCCAACAAATTTAATACTTTCGGACTTGCAGTGGGGCTTATGTACAGTTATAAGTACATATTTGCTTATATATAAACAAGTGTTCTTTTTTATTTATTTATATTACAAAAGTATATTATATTTGTTTACAGAAAAATATATTAGATGTTTTCATCTTTATATTTGCAATTGTGTGGCTTTGGCGTGCATAAAAGAATGAAAAAATGTCTTAGATAAAAATAGACAAATATAACTCAATCCTGTACAAATAAATATATTTATAAACATAAATATAAGTTATTTTTGTCTTTGTTTATATATGTTATAAATACATATTTGCCTATATTTATGTATTATATGTTTGTGTCTTTAATTATTATTATTATTATGTATACTTTTATATTTAATTTGCAAATGTTTTATTTACATATTTGCATATTTGCGCATATACACAAAAGATATTTTAATGTTTACTTACATTTATTATTAACAGAAACTTGTTCAATTTTATATTCCATGACTTCATGTTCATTTATATTACAAGTTCATATTTGACTCTTTATATATATATATATATATTAAATAACTTTATATAAATATATATGTATAAATATAATATATTTAATATACATAATAAATATGTATATAAATATACTTGTATATATATGTAATAAATATACATATATATATACATACATGTATATATATGTATGGCTGTGTACTCCGTGCATTTGAATTAAAAAAATGCAGAAATGAATAATAAAAACAAACAAATAAATGAACATTAAAAACAAATGCAAAAAGGAGATTTCACTTTTTATTAAATGCGTCGAAAAGTGGCTAATTTGGGGTGTACAGACACCTGCAGATGCATGCAAGAAAGCTGCATGCAAACGCATGCAACAAACGCATGCAAAAAAATGGAGTTTTGGGGCTTTTTGGGATTTGAAGAATTATTTATTTAAATTTCCACCAACTTAGCAGCAAAAGATGCATGCATTGCCTTTTGCTGCAGCAAAGAAGAAAAAGAAAAGTTTGAATTTTTATTTTTGCTGCTTTGCTGCCAAATTATTTTCTTTTTCCCATTTTGCATAATCAAAATTTCCAATAAATAATTCCTTTCACTCTAATGCTTATTTGTTAAAGCCACCTGCGCCTAGAGCTCGCTATAGCAGCAGCAGCAGCAGCAGCAGCAGCAGCGGCAGCAGCAGCAGCAGCAGCAGCGGCAGCAGCAGCAGCAGCAGCAATTGCGGCAGCGGACGGAACAGAAAGGAAACGCACATGGGCGTATGCACACCTACTTAGCAGCTGGCAGCAGCAGCAGCTGCAGCAAAAACTGCAGCAGCAGCAGCAGCAGCAGCTGCAGCAGCAATGGTGAAACTGCCAGTGGCGCTGGCTGCAGCAGCAAGAGCAGCAGCATCGTGCATGCAAACGGCAGCAGCAGCAGCGGCACCGCGACAGCCGTGTCACCACTAGCAGCAGCAGCAGCAGAAACAGACACAGCAACAGCAGCCGCTGCAGCAACAGCAGCCGCTGCAGCAACAGCAGCAGCAGCAGCAGCAGCAGCAGCAATTGGTGTG